GCGATGGTGCAGATGGTGGTGAGTGGCGATGGTGCAGATGGTGGTCGGACGTGAGGAAGGGCGGCAGTATGGGTGGACAGGTTGCGCACAAAACAAACAAAGAGAGAGAGAGAGAGAAGGAGGGGAAAAAAGAGATTCAGCAGCAACAACACGGCTGAAGCGCCAAAGAGCACGTGCGATCTGCCAGCAGCCGTGGTGACACACCTCCTTCAGCGTCGGCTCCAGCGGCCCGCGGTACGGCAGCTGCACACACACACATATGTTATGATGGAAGGGGCGGGGAGGTGTCATTGGTGTGTGCGTGTGTGCGTTTATATGTATGTATGTGTATGTGCATGCGTGTGTTGAGCGTACGGCCTCGATTGGAAGAGAGGAATGAGTGGGAAACACACCCCAGCATACGCCGCCGGCAGCACACGCTCAAATAAAAAACGTGCCTCCACAACCACACACACACACACACACACACACACACACACACACACACACATACACAGCCGCTGACCGTGATGGTTTTCCCCTCAGAGGCGCGGTAATCTGCAACAGAGCCGTGGTGCTTCTTCATGGCCGTGTCCGAGGACATGCTGCGAGCACAACCACATGTGGTGTGTGTGTGATTGTGTGCGTGCATGGGATTGTATGTGTGCGTGTGTGTGTGCGTGTGAGGTGGGTTGGTGTTGGAGGATGTAGAGTTGGTCATCCACGAGCATGCTAGCAAAAGCACGCAACCAACGCCCGCACCACCTCTGTGCCACCGTCTGCACTGTCCACCATTGCGTACCCATAGAACATCTTGAAGAACTTTTTGTCCTTCTCCACCAGCTCCCCCGCACTCTCGTCGTGCCCAGCCAGCATCCCGCCAAGCATCACAAAGTCCGCCCCAGCACCAAACGCCTTGGCGATGTCCCCCTGGTGGTGTGTTACGTTGTGTTGTGTTGTGACGATGGTGATGCGATGTGGTGGTGGCGAGAAGCATGATTTGCCTCAACCTCGACACACGGATACACACACACACACACACACACACAAAACACATGCATGCACACAACTCATGCATCACATGCACGTATGCACGCATGCACACACACGCACACACACACACACACCAATCCACAGCAACAACAGCGCCACACGAACCGGGCAAGTGCAGCCGCCGTCGGCCACAATGTGACCGCCCAGCCCGTGAGCAGCGTCAGCACACTCAATCACCGCACTAAGTTGCGGGTACTGCGCAAGAGCACGCGGTATTGCGCAGCGGGGAGAGGATCAATTACGAGGCGCGCACATGCACAGGTGTATGAGAGAGAGAGAGAGCGCGCAAAAACGTTAACACACACACACACACATCCACCTACACGAGAGCTTGAATGAGTACGCAAGAAACTGCATCAACACAACACTCACGCACTCGCTTGAAGTACACACACACACACACACACACACACACACACACACACGTGTCACATCACACACACACACACACACACACACACACACACACACACACACACACACACACACACACACACACACACACACACACACACACACACACACACACACACACACACGTGTCACATGACACCACGCTGGGGCGACTCACCCCGACGCCCGTCTGCTTGCGGGTGGTGCAGACGCTGCCCGGGCCAATGCCAACCTTCACGATGTCGGCACCAGAGAGGATCAGCTCCTCAACCATCTCCTAAGCATGAGGCGAATAAGGGTGTGGTTGCGGTGGTAGGGGACAAGAGAGAGAGGGAGGAGAAAGAAGAAAGAGATAGTGTATGTGTGTGTGTGTGCGTATGTGTGTGTATGTGTGTGTGTATGTGTGTGTATGTGTGTGTGTGTGTGTGAGTGTGTGAGTGAGAGCGAGAGAGAGTGTGTGTGTGTGTGAGTGTATGTATGTGTGTGTGTGTGTGCGTATAAGTGAGGTGCTCTGACTCCGGCGCCCATGCAAATCGACTGCAACTACACCTGCGTGACGACGTTGCCGGCCATGATGGTCTTGTCGGGGAAGGCCTCGCGCACCTGGCAGCGGGAGGTGCAGGAGCATGGTGTGGGGTGAGCAGCAGATTGGAGCTTGATAAAAACACGTGGCACAAGTACGCAGCCAACACACACACACACACACACACACACACACACACACACACACAACACACACACACACACACACACACACACACACACACACAAGCACACCGGCAAGCACCTTCTTGACAAAGTCGACAAAGTGCTCCGAGTATCCGTTGGCGACATCGAGGCAGATGAAGGAGATGGCCGGGTTGGTCTCAAGCACAGTCGCCAGCGTGGCAAAGTCGTGCTTGCCCGTGCCAGAGGACGCACACATGAACTGCATTCACGCGCGGGGGAAGGAAGGAGGAGCAGCACACGACACACGCGGCACGGGTGACACGAGTGAGTGAATGAGTGAGTGAGTGAGAGTAAGAGAGAGAGTGAGTGAGTGAGAGTGAGTGAGCGTGCGTAGCGTGTGTCGTGT